ATGCTTTTATCCAAAGCGACTTACAAATGAGGACAACAGAAGCAATCAATTGTAGTATTAAAACAACTAAAACAGATCCAAAACTAAAAGCTAAGACTTCATAAATACTACCTATACACATTTTAAAAATAAAGAGATTAAAAATGACAAATGCATACAACAATTTCATAAAGCTAAAAACAATTCAAAATAGTAAAGAACAAAAGAGTAGTACGTTCAAATTCAAATGTACCTACTAAGCAGTATGCGATTTCGGACGCACCCTATGTTGCGGGAGAGAGGAAAAAGGAGTTGCCGCTTTAAGACAGCTATGTACGGGAGTTGTAGTCCAGAGTGAGATGCATTATGTGTAATGTAGTTCAGTGTGAAATGTGCTGGAGAGACTTGCCCTCACTGTGTGCTGTGCAGTTGAGAACTGAGGGAGAAAGTTTGTATTCCGCTTAAAAGTTAAGTCAAGTCAGTCCGCCCGGGAGCTGTTTTGCACTGTGAACCTGACAACATGAGAACAAGTAAAAAAATGGCATGCATCGGTAATTTTGTACGTCTTCGAGTCCGGGATTCGTTCGTCGCAGGTGGTGAGACATACGGACATTTTAAACTGTTAAACCGAACCAGACGTTGTACGAGAAAAAGTGGAAATGGCGGATACTCGGGAGAGAACGCGAGCGGGGAGAGAACATTCTCATTTAAATACGAGCAGCCTGTGGAATCCTGCGATGTCAGAAAGAACAGAGAATGATGAAAACGAACACATATATCAGTTGTTGACTGGCTAAACGAAATGGATGCTCAAGTGTCAAAGACTGATAATAACAACAATCCATTTAAATGCTGTTCTGCCCCGTGTCCAGGGGAGTATGACTTCAAAGTTGTCCCTGGGCGCTGTCATGAAAATGCTGATGTGCTGCAGCATGGAAGGAGGAGGCCATGCCGTTCAACTTGCCCCTGCAACCTTAAGAATCCCATCTTGATTATCCCTCAGATCTGTCACCAGGCAGTCCAGTGTGACTTTGACGGCAAACCTGTAAATAACGTACCTGCAGCTGTTACTATGGAGTCTTGTCAAGTGGGGGTAGTACAACCTGCCATCACCACCAGTACTTCTTCATTCTCTGGGTGGACTACTGAAGGACTGCGTGCTGTCTAAGCAGCTGATCCTGATATCGCTCCCATCAAGAGGTGGATGAAGGAAAGCATGGAACGACCCTCCTGGGAAGATGTGTCACCCTACGGGCCAGCAACAAAAGCCTACTGGAGTCAGTGGCAAAGACTGTACCTAAAGGATGGCATTCTGTTACGACGTTACTACCTGAATGAGGGCCCTGAGGTTTACCCCCAGATTATCCTGCTGCGAGTTTTCCGGAAAGATGTCATGCACCAGATGCACGAGGGGCCAGTGGGTGGACATTTCGAGGTGGAGCGAACGCTGTCCCGGCTGCAGACCAGGTATTATTGGTACAAAATGCAAGAAGATGTTTCACTTTGGTGCCGCACATGCACCAGCTGTGCTGCAAAGGCTCGACCATTAAAGAGGCCTCAGGCATCCATGGGTACCGTGCGAGTGGGTGCCCCCACCATGAATGATGCTTCAATCGTTACATTCTTGTAGTGCAAGATTATTTCACCAAATGGGTGGAAGCGTACAGCGTACCCAACGACCAGGCTGTTACTGGCAGAGGTTATAGTCGCTGAATGGGTCTGCCGTTACGGGGCACCACTTACTCTCCATAGTGACCAGGGCACCAATTTTGAATCGGAGGTCTTCCAAACAATGTGTAAGCTGCTCGACGTTGACGAGACCCGTACAACGCCTTTCCGACCTCAGTCAGACGGGCAGGTTGAGCGATTTAATGCCACTCTACAGAAAATCCTAGCCACAACCTCTGAGCAATGTCATTGGGAATGGGATCTGATGGTTCCCTACGCTGTGATGGCTTACCGAGCGACCAAGCACAGTTCGACTGGATTTACCCCAAACATGATGCTCTTCGGCCGGGAGATAACGGAGCCCATTGACCTGGTCGTAGGAAAGCCCCCCAACGACACACTGACTCAATCATTCCCATGATATATGGTTCAGATGAGAGAAAGGTTGGAGTTGGCACATCAAGTTGCAAGGGATGCACTTGGCCAATCGGTGGAGCGTGCTAAAAAGCAGTATGACAAGAGAGCAGCCAGGACACGCTACAAAGTCGGTGATGCAGTGTGACACCTTGTCAAGGGAAAGAAGCGAGTGAAAAACTAAATCAGGAAGTTTCTCCCCAACTACGATGGTCCTTACTTTATCTTGGG